CTTGGCAAATCGAAGCTACAGTTTGAAAAAATATGGTGCTATGCAACAGGGACTGCACAATGCAGCTCTGAGTTGGAAAACACTGCAGAAATCAAGGATGGAACAAGTGGCGTGGGAGCAGTCCAATTAAAGGATTGGGTGTAACAGGATACCATTGCATTAGTATTTCTGTTCTAATGAGATGTAGAAGCAGATCATCACTTTTCAAGCTTTGCTTTATACACAGAGAGCTCTTGGAACATATGAAACTAGATTCCTTTCCACAAAATCTCAGCCAGAAGACGTTTTAGGTGGACCCAAATGCACTGCAGCTGCTAGCTGGCTAAGTAGAGTTAGTCCAAGGTGGCAGTCTGACACATGGATAGTGTGAAAACCATGAGCTCAGCATCAGCTGTTGCACTCCACATCATGGTTCCTGTTGCCACATACACTACTTGTTAAAGCACTCATCACCTTAATGCATCACAAGCTGACTATGAATCAGCTGTGTTGTGAATAAGACGAATGTGACAGCAGGATTATGTGTGATGTGTGAGGCAAGTGAAGCAATCCTTCTAGTATCTGGTAAGATGTCTGCAAGAGTACTGCATTCAGTTTCAGCAACATACTTTTAATTAACAACTGGAGCAGTTTAGCCTAGAAAGATCAGAAGAAAGCCATGAGAAAGATTGCCACTCTCAGAAGCACAAGTTGCAGGGAAAGATTTGGGACTGTTTTATCAAGAGAAGAAAAGGGTGAAATGGTAACAGCTTTCATGTCCAACAAAGGCTGCTGCAAAGAGAAGGGGGATAAATTGACAGCTGTGGGGGAGGCAATACAGATTGCTAATAGGAAAATCTGCCTAATAGAAGGGCTGAGAAAGCAATAAGCCAGGAAGACTTCAGCATCCACAATACAGGAAGGCTTTACAAACAGGTTAGACAAGCACCTGTCAGACTTGGTTTAAACACAGTTTATTCTGCCTTAGGAGGGGAGGTGGACTAGACAATCCCTTGAGGTCACTACCAGAGCTATTTGTTTTGCTTTTTTTTTAAATGTAAATAGTGAAATTACTCTTTCTTGCTCCTTTTATCTTGTCTTTCTAACTTTTTAATCATTCCACTGATCTTCCATCTGCATTTCATGTTACATCTTTCTGATCTTTCCATTATCCATCCCAGTCTATGTCTTGATCCCACCTCTGCCTTTCTGATTTTGGCACTGTACTTTATTTGTGGTGTTGCTTCTGCTAGGATCCTTCCTTTTGCCCAAGTGCAAAGCAATGTGCCTGTCTTAATTCAACTCCCTACATAATCAAAGCATTTGCCTATAACTGCTTAACTAAACATTGTATCTTCATTCACCTCCCCTAAGTGTTTATGCAATGGGTAAAAATGACAGTGTTGCAGTTAGATTCTTTTTTTCTTTCAGCACTTCCTTTTGTTATTACTGACCAAATAAACTCAGAGATCGCCACCATTTTCTTTAAAACAAGTTTATTCAGTGTACAAGAATACAGCAACAATGCAAAAGCTTACGTGGATTACCTTTTAAATAACAAAAGGCATCACTAGCGCTCTCATGTTAGGGGAATGGATATAAGCAAAAACATTATGTGTGGATACAAAGCTCTATGGCTTTTTCTCAGTTAATCTTTGGCTACTTACGTAAAAGAACAGACAATGGTTACTGCATGTTTCTTTGCTGGTATTTCTGCTTTTCTCTGGTGCTTTGAGAGAGCTCAGCACAATCCATGGGCATGGAGCAGAGCCCCACTGCCACCAGCTGCTGACTGATAGCCCAGTGCCAGCCTTTGGGCTGAACTCCCAGTTACCAAACAAGCCTTGTGTCCCTTGTAATATACTTCTGCTTCCCATCTTTCACACTGACATGACAATAAAAGACCTTGTCCTATAGAAAATTACTATCCTTTTGCATTGCAGCTATCACTGTCATGAATCCGGGAGTCCCTTCTTTCGACTTTACAACCACACAGTTGCCATTAGATGCTGCATTTTCTTCAAATACACACAGCAAATCCAGAATTTTTCTGTGCACTCTCTATATGCTTGCAACTTACTGCCTGAGTTAACCTCCAGAAGTTCACGGCCAAGCCCACAACCTTCTTTTAGTTCAATAACAGCCAGCTGGCACAAAGACATGTTGAAAGAAAGGAAAAGTAGGATTCTATGGAGAAAATTAACTTAATTTCTGTCTTTATTAGAAGGAGGCACAGTCCAGAAGGCCTGGGATTTAAAAGCAAACTTGCCTTGTCTTAAATGTGATTTTCAGAAGTTGCAGATGCACTATTAAATTACTATCAGCTTTACAATATACTTAATTTGTTAAAAAGTTCATTGGTGAACAATTTGTTTCTAATGTATAATATGTACCATCAAAACAGCTATGGGCATCCCTATTAGGTAATTATTAAAAAGAAAAGGTAAATTCTGCTTACTTTATTCAAGCAAATTGTACCTCTTGTTAAAAATTGCATTACGATAAATTAGAACACCAATACTAAAGAAAACCTTAACTCTCTTCAGCTTTCTATGTCTTCTACATTCCCTTTACATCCTAGATAGCACTTCAAGAAGCTGTATTTTGAAAGAAAAAATGTTCCTTCCATTAATTTTTCCATTAATTTTTTCTTTCCATCTCCTTCTTTTTCTCTTCTCTGGCAAAATGAGTTCAGTGTTCACTAGCAAATGAGGTATTCAGTATAAGTGAACAACGGAAGCACTTAATAGACTTATTTCTTGCTCGTGGATCCATTTCTATAATAAATATTTTTTAAGCTCAAGCAAAACATAACTTGACTGATCTACCAAATATATTACCTGATAACATCCATTTGAGTTTTGGAGGGTGTTTTTCCAATCTTACTTTGGAGAGGAGAATGATTTGCATAGTTCACTCAGCAATAACTTAAGAATTTCTTGAGGACAAATACAGATGTTTTCAACTGGATGATTGTGTGTTACAAATAAGTTTTACTTTTGATTTTAGATAAGAGCCTACTTTGTTAAAAAGAAAAATTAAGAAAGGAAAGTTGAGCCTTATTAGGTATTGAGTTGGACCATTTATTAATATTACATATGCAACTCTTCTCTATTTTTTGAAATACAGACATCCCCAAAAAGGAAATTTATAGCGTTAGTCACATTAGAGCCTCATGGGACATTAATAAAGCCCTCAGAGAATGATTTTTAAATATGGCAAAGGACTTTGCAATTTTATGCATGTACCAGAGTCCCCAGATATTCAAGACACATTCAGATGGGAATCTATGAGGATTTATTTTCATTTTCAGTGTGCTACTTGATGATGTACATGCATAGCTGGGACTGCAGCTCAGCAGAGCCGGGGTGAACACCTTGCTGCGCTGCAAAGCCTCCAACAGGACCTGTTCAAGCCACACAGATCCTCCAGCATGCAGATACTCAGGCCCTTTTCTGCCTGAATCCACACCTTCCCCTAATGACCAAAAGCAATTCTGTTGGCAGCTCTCTAAATTACAGGACTCCCACAGCTCATTGCGAGAATGGTGCTGAGCAGGCGTTGATGCCAACTGAGGGCTACCTAGCAACACACAGAGGTAGTCCAAGCCAGAATCTTCATATATGATTCTCAGAGTAAGCATTTATGTGTCCATCTCACTAGCAAGGCTTACACCCTACAGCATAGGCCACGGATGTTTGTATCCTTGACTTATGGCCCTTATCTCTAGGTCATGACAGGGTAGGGGAAAGTTCAGGCTTGATTTTTTTATTCACCAAACATATGCAAGGTTTGGGTCAAACAATTTAAAATCATGCCAGATTTTTAAAAAGCAAAAACTGTTCTGGCTAGAGAAAATTAAAAAAGAAAGTGAAGAACATAATCTCAGTGTTTTTAAATGGCATTCTGAATGGTGCTTCACAGAATGATGTATGCAAAAGGTTCATAAATAGCAGGAGCAAAGCAGTTGTTTTGTGTTTAGCTAACCATTTCATGCATTTCTTTCCTGCGAATTGGAATATATGTTATTCCCACAGCTCTAATAAGGACAGTTACCTGTGATGTAATGAAAGACTTACAATCAGGGCTCCTGCAAATTAAATTGCTGTTCTAAGTACCAAATTGATGTCCAGCTCAAGAGAGGGGTCTCTCAGGGTGTCCTCTTGGAGGTCTTAGGTTCTCTGGTCTGAGTTCACCCTTTGTAAAGGGAAAACAGCATGTGGACCTACTGCAAGACCTTTGGAGCAGACATTTTTGATCGTGTGTTTGTATCATGGGTCTCACTCTGCAAGTACAGAACATACATACTGCTATTGAATGGATAATACATTAAAGACTTGGAATCCACTAGGTACCGTGATAAAGATAGATAAAAATTTCAAAGAGAATTTTATTATGAGTTATATATAAATCTATGTTCAACATGAAATATTCCAAGTCCACTGTCCAAATGCTTCATGGAACATTCTTCAGAAAATCGTAGAACAACAATAAAACAAACTGGTACTAACTAGTTGAATTAAGGAAATATTGAGGACAACAGATAGTTTTGTAGCTACATTTTATAATATCTCTTCTTCAAGTATTCTGAAAAACACCTTCCAGGTTCTAATCTGATTAGAAACACACTCCTTCTCAATCCTTTTCTATAGCATAAGTAAGCAGAAATTACTCTGAAATATGGGCTACCCTTACTCTCTGTGCTCCAATGTCTTTTCCTCCTGTTTTCCTTTTGAGAGAGGAACACTGCAACAGTTCAGCTGAATGTTAAAATCCATAAAATGAATGGAAAAGAGGGTGCCGTATGAGAGATGGAGAAGTGAGTATGCAGACTGTTCCTTTAAAAACTGTACAGAAATCTTCTGAGAGTCTGTATTCAGAAGAGTGTGCAGGAATCATATTAAGCAGCAAGAAAACTCTCAGATTTCTGAGAGTCGTACATCCAGAGTGGATACTAGCCTTTCATTTTCAAGAGATTCATGTTTTGCTTAGTTTGTTCCTATTATTTTTTTTTTTAACAGATTAATACAAATTCTTCCAACATGATGGCCTTGGCTCCTAACACTTCTAAGAAAAGAGAGACAGTGTGCATATTTGGAACTGGAGATTTTGGACGAGCTCTGGGGCATAAAATGATTCAGTGTGGCTACCCCGTGGTGTATGGAAGTCGGAGCACCCAGATATCAAACCTGATTCCCAAGGATGCAGAGGTGTTGAGCCACGCAGAGGCAGCACAGAAAGCTGCCATCATCATTATAGCAATCCAGAGGCAACACTACAACTTCCTTACACCACTAGCAGAAATTCTCCGTGGAAAAGTTGTGGTGGACATAAGCAACAACTTAAAATTAAACCAGTATCCTGAATCCAATGCAGAGTACCTTGCTCAGCTGCTGCCAGGTGCCAGGGTTGTGAAATCCTTTAACACCGTGTCAGCCTGGGCCTTGCAGTCGGGAGCGTTGGATGCAAGCCGGCAGGTAAGTCTGAGCTACAGGGATTTCCTTTGTCATGGAGTTATTCATCGTATGGCTTCTTATTAGCTAGACAAAACACACACAGGACATACAAATCGGACAGGATTGAAATGGTTTTTTCTCTATAATCCCCCATTTCAAAATAATTTGAGCTAAAATTTCCTTTGGGCTTGTAATATGGCATGACAAGGAATATCAATAGCTTTCCTCTGAACTCAGTGTTCAGTGATGCTAGAGAAGCAAGGAAAGAAAGATGGCAGAGCTACAAAGAGAGAGACAGAAAATCAGGAGGACATGAGGCTTGCATCAGTTGTTCATACGGGTTGTAAAGTTAAACAAAAAGGAGATAGTAGGAATATAATGAAGCAAGAACAAAATGAAGAAAGAAAAACCAGGGAGGCAAGGGATATGATAGACTGGCAACAGAAGTGAGCTAGAAGATGAATAAATTACTAAAATTTTCTAAATTAGAATCTATCACCACCTAAGTTTAACACAACATCAGAGTGCGCAAACCATTTTAACCTGCTCCTTAACTACAGGCCAGCAAGCACAGAGCTGGGCATAGGAAGCAACATGGCAGCTTATTTGAAGAAAAATCATTTATTATTACCCTGTTTTCTGCCACTTTGAGGGACAGTGCTCTTGTACAATGCATGAAATCACCCAGCTACTCAAACCATTACTAGCTTTGTTTTGTGCTGCCAGATAAATGGTTTTGGCTAAACCAAAGGTCAAATCTTCTATGCAAAGGCTTATATTAAGCATGTTATACATTATTCTTTCCAGATAAAAAATGTTGCCACTTGAAACAATCTCCTTCTCCAAAGAAAAAAATCATATTCTAAGTTCTTGAACTGGTTGGCCAAATGTACCTATAGGCTACTTTCTGCCTGTTTTAATCAAGGTCAGCAGGGAAGCCAACAAGCAGCCTAGGAAGCTTGTGCTCATTGTCTATATCCAGGACTAGCATGGCAGCAGAGAATGTCATAAAAATCTGTCAAAATAAAACTTCTATTTGTTTTTGGCTGCAGGTGTTTGTCTGTGGAGATGACATGGAAGCTAAACAAATGGTGATGAATATTGTTCGTGCACTGGGTCTCACTCCACTAGATCAGGGATCCCTCTTGGCTGCTCAGGAAATAGAAAATTACCCTCTGCAGCTCTTTCCAATGTGGAAGTTTCCCTTCTTTTTGTCCCTTGGCCTAACTGCATTCTTCTTCTTCTACTGTTTGGCTCTTGATGTAATTTACACTTACATATATGAAAACAGCAACTTTTCATTTTTTATTGCATTTACCATTCCAAATCGGATCTGCCCTGTAATGGCACTCATCCTTCTTGGCTTGGTTTATCTTCCTGGTGTACTTGCCGCAATTATTCAGTTATATAGAGGCACCAAATACCGCCGTTTTCCAGACTGGCTGGACAAATGGATGCTGTGTAGGAAACAACTTGGACTAATAGCCTTGGCATTTGCTTCTTTGCATGCTGTGTTCACCCTTGCTAGTCCACTTCGCTCCTTCGTAAAATGGAGAACCAGCAAAACAATCATCTCCCAGGTGAGTTTTGTTCCCTGCCCTAGGTCTCCCTTTCTTCTGGCCTTGTTATAAATACTGCCATCTATCTTGAGCTTCAGAAATCCATGTGGACAGCCTAGTGATCTTTACAGTAGGGTCATATTCCTAGTTTCTGTGTTCCTTTTAATCATTGGTATATCTAAAGTTTGTTGGCATTATGCTGAGCTGAGGGGATTTCTGGCCCCAGTCTTCCTTCTGGATAGTTGACATATTAATAAAATAAACAGGAAAAATGTAAACATAAAGAGTACTTTAAAGAGGCATATTTCCCTATTTCTTCATATACCTTTAAGAATAGAATACATTTTTACTTTCTGATTCTACTTAACAAGAAAGGATCACATATCTGTCCTCAGTGGTAGGTAAACAGATAAGTAAAACAGTCACGACAATTACAGGTACATGGAAACCACACGTAATATAATGCCTCTTTCTTGAGCAGGCATTGAAAGTAAATCTCCAATGATTTTCAGAGAGTTAACGTATAACATTTATCTCCTAGTTGCCTTAAAGGATGTTTTTTTTCTGCCTACTGATCCTAAAACTGCTATCATTAAAATATACGTGGTCTTCTTTTCTTCAGGCACTGAACAATAAAACAGAACCACTCGACACGACTAATGCCTGGCTTAGTGACTCTTACTTGGCTTTGGGAGTTATAGGGTTTTTTTTCTTTGTTCTTGTGGGAATAACCTCCTTGCCTTCAGTCAGCAACAGTGTCAACTGGCGAGAATTTCGATTTGTACAGGTAAGAAAATGACTTCTAGAAAAACCTTCTTCCCTTATAAACTATGGCCACAGGCAGGTTACTTATGGCTTTCCTCCATTAATATCTTCAAATGTGATGTGTGTACTCTCCATGATCAGATAGTGGAAAAAAATCTACACGGCAATAGAGCTTAACTGTAGAAACCCACACCTGCTCTGATGGCTGCTTATGGTACAACTGGGATTACTATGTAAACAAGAGAAAGTTGGGAAGTTTTGAGCTCCTAAATGACAAACAGGAAGCTGACTTTGATGTCAAATTCCACAATTACACTAAGTTGCAAAATAATTTAGCCATTTATCGGGATAATTTTGTTGGTTCACAAGATAATTCAGTTAAAATGGATTTGAAAAGTTACTTTGTAACTCGAATCTTCTCAATACCAAGCATCTAAAGAGAATCTGCAATTTCTGCAGAGTGTAAAAACATATGTGCCCATAAACAGGCTGCCCTCACTATAATCTCAGCCCTCTTTTAGGAGGAAGTTTGGTGGAAGCTGCCATGCCTCTGCAGGAGCTGAGCTGGATGGGAGGGGGGGCAAGAGAAGGGGAAAGTACTGTCAATTAATGTTTTATCAAGGCGAAAAACTTGCACAGTATGGTACTTCTGGATGGATAGCACTAGAGCATAAAAAAATCTTGGATCTCTCCACTGAATGTCAGCACTTGCTCTGCTTTTTCACAAAAATGACAGCTACTAGGGAATATGCGTGAGCCAGGAAAAATTATCATGGATATTGACAGAGAAGAAAAACAAACTGTGTTTCCCCAATACCCATTTGAATTAATCTTTATTAAAAACAATAAGAGCCTTTATATAAAAGAGTTTCATTTCACCAGTCCCCAAATTGGCACAAGCCACAAATCTTACTATGTTCTTAAAATTGCATTTGTTCTGTTTTAATTTTCTGTTTTAACATCCACTTCTTTCTTTCTTTCTTTCTTTCATTTTCTCGTAGTCCAAACTGGGATATCTGACACTGATTTTGTGTACCGCGCACACGCTGGTTTATGGTGGAAAATGGTTCCTGAGCCCATCAGCATACAAATGGTATCTTCCAAACATCTATATGCTCTCCCTCGTTGTGCCATGTGCTGTACTGGTAGTCAAATTTGTGCTGATATTTCCTTGTGTGGACAAACCTCTCACACAAATTCGACAGGGCTGGGAGAGGAATCCCAAATCCTCGGAACAATCAAATCACATTATAAACAAGTCTGCTGTATAATTAGACTAAACTGTATCATCAAAAAAATATTATGAAGACACATAAAAATGAAGTCTTGAGCCTGCTCTATCTGGAGAGAGAGAGAAAAAGTGAAAAACTTGGCCAGACCCTGTGTGAAACAAAGTCATCCCAATGACAAGCTTAAAATACAAATCAAATGAAGCCATTGATTTTCTACACCCCAGGCAGTCTTTCACACAGGTGCAGGCCCTCTCCTCTGCTCTATATATTCCCCCTTGCCTGTTTACCCTCCATTTCTAAGAAGAGTATGTGAGAAGGAAGTGGTGATCCATGTCCCTCCTCTGTAGTTTCAAACCTCCTCCAGAGCTGGGCAGATCCACAGTAACCTTTGCTGTTAGACAACGTCCGCTCCTCTTCCCTATCCTGCCCTTTGGGACTCAGGTCTACATACACCTACAAGCATCCACAGAGATCCATATACACACCTGCATGTATTTCCACACATTTCCCTGTTTCCACCCCCAGAATCCACCAGCACCAAACGAACAGATGCACGATGGATGCTATCTCTTCCTCCTAGCAATAGTTTATCCTCCATTAACATCTAATTCAAAGACATCTATGTTCATACCTTAGAGATAATTGAGTAAGATTTGTTTAGTTTATGTACAATGATATTCAAAGGATATGGGTCAAGGACTGCTGAATCTTTGCTTGCACTGCTCTACCAGAAATTTGGGGGCAAGGGGAAGGAGGAAAGATCAAAATGCCAGAGAGATGTGAGAAGTGCTCACAAACCCACGCATCTCAAGTATAGGCAAAAAAAGATCTGTGATCTTTTATGTAAGCAGTGAGTTGTAAGGAAAGAAACTAAAGGAAAATCCTTTCTGTATGAGGCAGTTGTATTATACGTCATAGTTATATCTCATGAAGAGATAGTTGGTATTTAAAAAATCAAATTTTTGGATGTTATATTACAAATATTCTATGAAAATACACATATTTTAAAGACAATAAAGATTTTTTTTTACACTGTTGAGCTCTGTTATCACTTCTGGAACCTCTTTTGCTATGATGCAGCTGCTGGTGTGCTCAGTTGCACAAAGATTTTGGAAAGCTTCAGGACAAAGAATAAAATGGGATCCTGTCTTCAGCCAGCTGCCTGGACGCACCTTCCCCAATCTTTTTTCTTGGATGCTAACATAAGCAGATCTTTGCTTAGTCAACCAAGTTGGCTGAGGATGTTGTGGAAAAACAGGATCCAGCTGGGATGGTGACCTCCTCTTGAAGTGCAAACAGAGGATCCAAGAGTATCCTTTGGATTGGAGAATAAAGAAAATGCAAAATGTGCTTGTTTTTATAGGAAGAGAATTGCTTACTGTTCTTTTACTTTTCTGTTGTCCTCCTCCCTGTCCATACAAAGAATACTCACATATAGGAAAGTATGAGCATGCTAATTAGTATAGATAACTGTGCTTTAAAACAAGCATTATCAAGCAGCTTTAAAAAAGTAAAAAAAAACCACAAACAAACAAACAAACAAACCTATCTGAGTGATACTTCTCCAAACATTTGTCAACAATGGAGTCTTTTTTAATTCCAGACACACATCCCCTTCTCATGTGATCCTCTGGCCCAGAAAGAATCTGTTCTTAATACCCAAAATAATGGTAAAGGAGTTTGGGATATCAGCAATTGATGGAGCCAGATTTCTTAGAAATAATTCTGGCACCAAGTATTCTCACTAACCACCACTGGTGCATATGTTATACTTGTCCTAAACTGATATGCATATATTGATACAAGTCTTTACAGAAGTCTTCCTTGACCTGTGCCATGATGGAGTAGTACCACATTTCAAGTTTCCTTCAGCAATTTTCCACATTAATCTTACAGAATCATTTCCTGCAGAAGGGATCAGGTATAGCTCAAAGGGCCTAATGACACCACTGTTGTGAGGATGCCTGTAACATCTTTACAGCTCCCCGGAGAAGAGAGGGGTGGAAGCAGCAGAAAGAGAGAAGGAAAACAAGACAGAACAAGAGAGAGTTTGTGTGAGCATATAGGTAAAACAGAAAGGGATAGAGCAGAAAATAAGTAGCACCAGCCTCAGTTAATATTCTCTAGATTTGCCATTTTGGGGGCAAATTCTAGTCTCAGTGACACAGTTACGTGAGATTTATATTATTACAAGTAACATCAGTTTCGAGGCACTGACACATATTGGGGTTTTATATCAGTTTTTAAAGGATATATTTTCGGGGGTTCTGCCGATCTAAACCTGATCTAAAACCTACCTTTCCTCTCTCAGAGCTCAGTCAGTGGGTTGGAGTTTAAACTGCAACAGCCATGGCAAGTCCCACCCATTTAAAAGCTATGCTCTGCATCCTTTACGTCCAGTGAACAGGCTCTTGCGTGTTTCTGAGTGCCTTGCGTTAAGGAGAATCACAGGCCCAACCAGGTCTTCTTTACCCTCACCGAGAACCAGTGCAAAGTAACAGTGGCCTGACTGAACACTGCTTTGTACACTCACTGACATCTAAACCACAGTCCCAAACACCCACAGGACTGTCGCTCCTGCAGGAAAGACAAGAGAACTTCTTTGGGGATGGATATCTCATTGTTTTGCTAAGTGAAAACATGGGCCAAGATGTACTGGAAATGCTAAGTGGTTGGGTACAATTTGCAATTCGCTGTTTGCTCCAAGGATAAAGCGCCAATATCTGCTGTGTACAAACTGAGGAGGCAACACTGTTTGCTTACATGAGGGGTGTGCAGCAGCTGTCAGGAGAAGATCCAGAGCCCTTGCATCTGAACTCAGAAGCAGGTGCTTTGTTGACTTACATAGATAATAGGTCAGATCCTCATCAGCACTTGTTTTTCCAGATGGAGGGAAGGATTTCATGTCCCGTTATTCTTGGGCAGCTGGGGAGTATTTGCTTTACAAATTTACATATTTACTTCTTGAACATGGTAGAGAAAATCAATTCCTTCAGTAATCGTACATGACAGTTAAAGTATTCAATGGCAGTATTTTGAAAAATATAACCAGTGCCTCGAAAACTGTTGGTAGCTTGTATACACTTCTCGTGGCTGAGCTCTCGGTATTTTTTTTTTCTTTTATGTACTGACAAAGCCTGGTCAAAAAGGAGATCAGAAGGATCATGAAAGGAATTTTGGAAAAGGTTTTTTCCACATGGTTCCCAGAAGCCATGAAGAGCTTTTATGTGCATATATAATGCCATTCTAAAAATTCCTGCAGGAATACAGCATTGATTATCAGATCTAAATCAGTGTCAACACCTGGAAAATAGAAATTACAGCTTTTTAAATAAGTGGTCACATGGATATTGTCATGATAACAACTAAGTTTGGATTTCATTGCATAAGAAAGTTTTATTCTGATGCACCACAGCATAGTGGGATAGACAACATAGTGTGTGTAGACCTCTACGTCCTTCATGATACAGCTTCACTTTCTTTGCCTTTTTATTATACCCAGGGAGTATCTATTTCAACCAAAATGTTCACTTATTAGTGAATTAATTAGATTTGCTTGAAACAGAATGGGATGTCAGACACACGCTGGCCTCAGGGGATGGAGCTGACACCATCTGACTGGCACAGCTGACACTGCTGGATCCTGAAACACTGAGATCTAAGCAATTCCCTTTAGTTCCACCACACTGCACTGCAAGTCCTGAGATCTGCAGCTTGTTTTTGCTCTGCAGCATGACCTTCTGTCAGGCTTCTCTGCCTTATCTAACAGTCACCTCTCACTCCAAGACATGAGGCTTCATGATCCAGCCTACAAAGCTCCTTTTTTGCCGTATGTCAGGTTTTTGTAGCTTTGCTCTTATAACCTCCTCAGACACAATATTTTACGAGAGCATCTTTTGTTTCAAACACTGGTGAGCATGTTGGAGTCACCAGTCCAAATAAAGAACTAGTGAATAGTATGAACTCTGCAGTAGCTATGTAACTTATGTTCAGCTGCTCTTCCATACTGCAATTAATATATTTAATAAGCATCCAGTTTTCCCATAATAGTCTAAATATGGCTTCTTCCACACACTATAGAAGCTTTTCTCTCCTACAGAGATTCTTTTCTTTTCTCTACATTACACATTTTTTTGTGGATCTCCATTTCTATCACTAATTCCTGACCTTAACATGAAAAGTTCACTCCCCCAAAGAAGTTGACATTCATCAAGATATAATTTTTTTATCTATCACCATGAAAAACTGCACATCTCTTATTCTTGCACATTGCTTTAATTGAATGTTCTTAAATCTACAAATACAGAATAGACATAAATATTAGCTCTGACAAGACTGGACCCCTACATATTATTTTCTTATAAAGAACCTCAGTGCTACAAGAAAAATACACTCCAGAACCTCGAGAGGACATTCACAGACCTCAGAGAACTGCATAAAACAGCACCCTTTATTCCTGTCTTTGTTTTTGCTTCCACATCCAGATTTGGTTATTATTTGAGATACAGCCCCTTCATTGTGCTTGCTTTTCTTCACACTTACTCAGATTTAAACTAGGAAAAGCTTAACTGCAGTCAGTAGTCTCAAGCTATTAAACATCAGTGCATAGGCCTTTCCTACTTTATTAGCCATTAATTTTATGGTCTCCAGTTTTATGGAAGATGGTAAAGAGTAGTCTTTATAATCCTTTCTTTAGAGACTTCAGAAAGAAATAAATGAAAAGTGAAAAAACTTAAGTTATTGTAATACACTAATCATTATAGGACACAAGTGGTTGAACCAAATTAGAATGTCCAAAAAAAGGCATTTTTGGGACATATTGTCTATGATAGAGTGTTGGCATCAAAGCAGGAAGGTATTTTTAATGAAATATTCTGGAGAAAAGTATATGGAACAAAAGTAAAAAATTTATTAGAATGAGGAAGTGAGAGAGAAGGAAAGAAACAGGAGGAAGACAAAGCTGGTTTTCTTCTTTTCTGCTGGCTCCATGACAGAAAATGTCATGCATTTTTGATTGCATGGTACCAATTATTTCAGCACCTTATAAAGAATTAAATGATGTGTTTGATCTTGGGAGTCCTGGAGTCCAAATTACCCTTAAGGATCCCTCCATAAGCTTCTTTCCCCAGTCGAATGGGTACAAATCTGCTTCTCACCCTTTACAACAACCTTTCCAAAGATAGTTGCCACTCCACTCCACACCACTCACTGTTGAGCAGCAGCAGTAGCAAACCCAGTTGTGCATCAGGCATAAGATTGCATGTCTTAGTATTGAATATAGTTGGAAAAACGGTTTCCTTGGGGTAAAAGAATTAGGAGAGATGCAGTTGTCCAACTGTCCCTACTCAGGAACCGCTCTGTTTCAATGTGGGACACCATCATCTTCATTTTACAATTAAAGAAGTAAAATCTTCAGGATCTCACTGAAGAAAGGGTAAATCATTAAGGCGGCATGAAAATTTGAACTAAAGGAAAGCCTACACTACTCGATCAAGAAGACAAGTGAGAGCTGGAAAGAGTGAGCAGAACCTGAAGAGGTGACTGAAAGGGTAGTCCTTCCCCCTTCCCACTTGTCTAGAGATGAAACAGAGCTTTGGGAGCCCAGGAAAGGACAGATGTAGTGTCCCTGTCCCTGAGAACCAACCCAGGCAATCACAGGAGATGGGTGCAGAAGCAATTGCATGGAATTATGTTAAATACATGCAGGATTACAGTTTGTTTGTTTTGCTTGTAGCTTCTGGTTTCCAATCTCATAAGCAAAGATTGAAAATCAAATCCCATCTTTAATTGGATTGGTCTAAAGGTCAAACCTCAAATCACATGACAGAAACTCCAGTCTTGTTTTACTACTAAGCCTGCCTGAACATTGTTGAGATAAATAAACCCTTAGGATACCCAATCTTGACAGGGTCTGAGGGATATCCCCTGTCCAGTTACAAAAGTCTGAGAAGGGTGAAGAGGCTGACTTGGAACAATACCATATACACAAACATCACTGAATAACTTCTACCATCTCTTCTTCAAACACAAACCCATGTT